CAAGAGACCTGGCTCCATTCCTTTGCCACGAGACTTTCCTGGGGTTGCGAGTGGCAAAGCTGCAGAGAGCCTTCCTTCGTGTCTCTGCTGAACTGGAACCAGCTATGTGACCACCTCAGCCAGGCACACAAGACTCCTCCAGGGAGAAACAGCACAGGTGGAAGTCACGGCCAAGGAACATCACTTGGCCCTGGATCTGCTCCTCGCCTCCCAAGGAAGAGTTTGCCTGGTGTTTAGCTCCTCCTTGTGCACCTGACTGCCAGTTGGTGTTCAAGGATGCGCTTGGCTGGCTCCCATCCCACGTTTTCCACTTTGCACTCCCCTTTTCTTGCCTGCACAATGATGACACTGAGGCTCCTGGATCACTCCGACTCCTGTGGACTCCTGTGCACTCCGTAGGATGCCTTGTGCTTCAAAGAGGGGAAAAATGGACAAAGTCAACACCCCCATATGTATGGGGTGGGGGCCTGTTTCTTCTCTCCTCCGCTCAGCTCTCTCTTCCTCCCCCCACTGCAGCCTCCCCAGGCAGAAGGGGAGCAGCCAAAGAGGAAGGAAGGATTTCAACCCCTCCCCCCCATGCACAAAGAGCTGCTGGTGGGGGCTTCCTCACTTCTCCCCCAGGGTTCCTTATGCCTCCAGCTCATCAAGACCAAGGAGCCTTTTTTTGCCTGGATAGCCCCAGTTGACCTTTTCCTTCCTCCGCCCCTCCAGTCCTGTTTTATTTTTTATTTGATTTGACAATTGCTTGGAAGATAATAGGTATAAGGATAAACATGAGTATGAATGCAGGGATACAATCTTTCCTGGACAGAATTCCCCCATTTCCCCAGGGTGCCTTAGTTGACTGCTTCCCCAGTCAACATTAACCTGTATAACCTCCCATTGGGTGGTTGCCTCGTGCTGCAGAGGGAGAAAACGGAGGAAGTCAAGGCCCTGATTTGTAATGGGGAGTGTAGGAGAGGATGTTTTCCTAGCCCCCCATTTGTTGTCTCTCCCTCCCCTCCAGTCCTCCTGGCCCCTTCCCTGACCCACTTTCATCCCTCAGAGCTGATGGGCTGGAGAGGCTGAGCTGGCCTGGATCCTCCCTGCAGAGCATCAGATCAGAAGATCCCAACCAGGAGGGGCTGAGCCCCAGAGGAACCCCAGAGGAACCCCAGGCAACCCATGATCTCTCCATGGCTACCTTGAGAAGACTTGGACTAGGGGGTGGATTCCCCCACTCCACAAGCCCCATGGTCTTTTCCTCCATGTATTTTCCAAGTGCGGAGTTTT